CGAAGACAGGGGAAATAAAGTCAAACTGAGAATAAATCAAACAAGCAAGGTTGTCTCGAATTTTACGTCTCATACTCCATACAAATTTTTTTATTAATGTTCCACACTTTTGCCTGTTTTCATCTCAGGTATTGCAAATTTGTAGTTTCACTTTTTTCTCTTGAGTTAAGGCAGCAGGATTTATTTTTTTCTTTTTAAATTTTCCGTCAAATTTATTTGCGTTTAGTATTTACTTACATTGTTTCACCTGTTTCCGCGGGTTTGACAGTGAACATGAACCAGATCGCAATTCGGTTCATTTTTCTAGGTTTTAGGCCAAATCATTTATATAATCCAATTTGAATGTCTATCCTGTTCCTTTTTTAGCACATACCTGAATTGTAATACGATATCTCTAATTATTTCAGAACGGACGCTTGGATGTTTTTCGATTTAAAACGATCCATGGCATCGAGGAAAAAATTCACCTAATGAAAAATAGAATCATTTCTCTAGTATCTCATTGTTATTTCAGATTGAAACCTCCTGATAAAATAACTAAAAAGAGGCCCGGATATTTTTTTTAAATCCCGGAGTGTTGTCGGTAGATGTTTTGAGATGAAGGCAATCTAGGAACAGGTCACAGATCTAGTTGGTTTTCCCCTTTACTCCAGTTCCTTTACATCTTCCAGTGTTATTTATGAAAACGGAACACAGCTAGTCATGTGCCACAATGAAAAAAACAAAAACAAAAATGAAATTAATGACACCACGCCGTTCATCCGCGCGCATTTTCTGGCCCCTTTCCCTCTTTCCTGTTCCTCCTAACGTCTATACCGCAATTCGTCACTATGACAAGATCTTCGCCCGGTAAGAGGCTCCACTTAGGATAGAGAAAAAAATTGTGTCTATTTTCTGAATACATCAACCTACTAATTAATAAGAAGAATCGCCATGAATAATTCAACACGAAAGAGACGATGTATCTGCGTTTTATTCAAAGTCATTCTGATATGCATAAAAATTTTCTATCTAGGATAAATTATTGGGCCGAAAGAAGCCCGAATATTCGCCAAAATTCATGAGATTTTGATTCTTAGGGTTTTTGAATGACCGCCAAAACTTATTTTCTTCCTTTTTATTTCTTCTCTTCTTTTTCTCTTTTTTTCGCCTCTGGAAAAGGAAGGGGTAGAATAGACTCACGCGAAAATTACTTCGATGTCGTCCATGAATTGTGATATCCATTTTTCTCACTTTTCTCCATCCTTTTTCTCTAAAAAGCGATGTAACCACTATGATATAACTAAAAATGCCCCACCTAAAAAGACTGCGTCATGACAGTTAAAGTCAATCTCATCAGTTTCTCACGCAAGCAATGATTTGGAAGTTCTCATTTGTATTAAGATTTAAGGGAGTGTCTACTTTTCATCACATCCTGCCGTTAATTTGTAGTTACCTTAGAGATTAAAAAATATGTTAAACGAAAGTGCACGCTATAGGAGGTAAAAGGGTAGGTAGTTAGGTATCAAAGGTACCCTAAAAGTCTATGATCTAAATTGAAATATGAGATTTAATTTCACTCTATTGGATTAAGCTAGATTAATTCTATTTTAGCAGTTGATAATAGTGCCGTAAGGTACCGAAACGTCCTGCCTTTGTATTTTGTATTTCAGCCTTGTTTCCGCTTTTTCCTGTGTTTTCGATTGTCGTTTCCGTTTCGGGCTGCTTTTACATTCTCTTTGTTTTCCACCATTAGATTAAATTAATATGCAATGACTCTTTTACGACGGACGCAATAATATCTTCAACAAACAAATGTATACAATTTTAAAGAAAAAAAAACCGCGCAACAAAAAAGTTAGTGTCCGACATGCACTGATTCGTCGAGCATATAAAAGTGCTGAGAGTTATGAATTTGAAAAATCAAGTGCATCCGCAAGGATCATCTTTGAAGATCGAAACTTTTAGAATTTTGATTTAAAAAAATTATGACCGATAAGATACCACATTTTTTTACCCTGACCTTTCGGTAAAATTGTATTAAGGCACCTTATAAATTGGATTTTTAGGGGGTCTGACCCCTAATCTCACGTTCCAAACTTGTGGGTTCAACTACTTGGCGAAAACTACGGGTTTCCCAAGGTATAATATCATTCGTAAAACCAACATCCTATTTTCAGATCGGGTGTATCCTGAGTACTACATCAATTATGGCCACTTAAACCATCGAAACTCTTCCTTTTTCTTCTACATAATAGGAATGTCTGCCGAATCGGTCATTTGTGATAAAAAGTAAAACATTTCTGAAAATAATCGGACAAGAGCTTTAAGTCGCAAAAAAAGACGTGTGTCTAATTTTTCAAGAAAGTAAGGAAATAAATACTTTTTCCTCTGGTTTTTTTTTTTATTTTGTTTTTGAGATATGTTTTGTCCCTCTTGGTGACACTTTATCATTTGCGCTAGAAAAGAGTGAATCAAATGAGGGGCTTGGAGGACAAGGCGCATAAGTGCAGTTTTTGAAAAAGTTGAGTTTTTAATGATATCAAGCAAAACTAGTCTTAATGCATATTCATACTCTTGCTTTATTTGCCGTGAAGATGTTATTCTCTGATAGAGGCTTAAAAGGTAGTAATATAGTTTTTAGAAAATGTGAATTATGATTCTTAAACATTAACAAGTCAACTTCAAAATAGTAAATGAGGTGTCGACTTCAACCTTAAAACGTCGGGTATTTTTCAAAGTACACGATCTGAATCTATATTTTAGTTCTCAGCAAATCTACAGGAACATCGATTACTTTTTACTCTCTTCCTCTCTTTGGTTACAGACATAGGTTAATCGCAAGGGGGAAATTGAGTGATTCGCGGTGAATTTATATGCCCCTAAAAAATACAGATTCGAAAAACTTAATGTCAACGAAAAATGAAGCAAGAAGATTCAAAATCAGGATTCAATCGGATTAATAATAATTTGTCGGGGTGTTCTAATCCTCGAATTTAGTTCTAATTTTTATGCCTTGAAAAAAAAAGAGCGACATGAAGAAAAAAGGGAAAAATCGACAAATTACCTCCATATTTTAACGAATCATGATTCTTTAAGTATTTTTTTGTACCCCAGTAAAGAACATTCAAGAGATAATAAAATAAATATGATAATCATCATAAATCATCAATAAATATGGTATATGAAAAAAGAAACTGTTCGGCACATGAATAAGCTGTGCGACTTTGAGGAAAAATACATTTAAAGTTGAAAAATAGTGTACTTCCCTCGGAAACTACACTAAAAATAACTAGTGAATGATGGCCTGAGAAAATTGAGAGTTAAAAAGTAGGGGGACGAAAAATTGCGTTCAGACATGCTCTCCTGTACAAGACAAGATTAACTCAACTCAAAATAATAAGTACCCCTATTCAACGGTGTTTTTTTGTGAATTAAAAAAGTGCAGATGTTGATTGAATATACGAATAGGATCCCGAGCGACCAAAAAAAGTCCTGACTGGTGTTGTAAAACTATTACTAGAGTATTTGCCATTCTATTTTTAGATTGAATTCCGTGTTACTAGCTCTAATTTCAGCGTTACCGCCCAAGGGAACGAATACCTTCCTGAGAAAGGAAGGAGCTTTTCGTCAATTTTTTTTTTGGAAATTCGGCATTCCAGAATTCGATGAAACATGCAACTGGTGTTCAAAATGTGTGCTGAGGGCCGTTCGCTTCATGTATATATTTTTTGAAAGTACATTTTCGAACCGAAAATTTCCATCCGTAAGAATTTCTTTGGTTTCATTCGTACTTTTTTGGCACTTCTTCATTGCAATGCTTGATTTAAAAAAAAAAAAAAAAAAAAAAAAAAAAAAAAAAAAAAAAACTATCCATGGAATTATTCCAATTCCTATCTTTTATTCTTTGGCACTGAGGTCTATTTTCCCGTGAGCGGTCATAAATGATTATTCAACTCCTCAGATTGTCATCCTCCCATTATTGTTTACATAGATCCATCGGCCGTACCGGCGTACCTCTTAAATTTTGCGGCTATTGACAGTTAATGAGCCCATATGCGCCCGCTGCGTTCACATTCTCAAATTATGAGCCAGATGTTCTACTAGCATGGAGTAGAGAGGCCCTACGCTGCGCAAAGAGCCCATTAGGGTGTGAGCCTGTGGGCCACGTTACCGGGCCGCGCTTTCCCCCAGTAAATCACTTTTCTAATCAACTAGGGAGTCCGCCCCCTGGCCGCTACGCGGCCCAATCCCCGAAAGGCCGCTTCGCGACCAGCGAAAGCTCAAACGAAAAAACCATAGTATTAAGGATTTAAAAAAAAAGAACCTCGATCAGCCCTCTTACGGACGGGACTCCACGAGAATTTTCCTTTTACAACTTTGAACTCCCTTCCTCGCCCCAGCCCATCGAGCGTCTTAAAAATGATTTGATTACGCCTTGTCTCCACGAGACGTTTCACGGGATTTTTCCCAAGTTCGAATCGCAGGAATGAAACTTCCGAGCTTTTTCCCCGTTAAACAACACAACAAAATTTCTTCTCCTTTTTAAGTAGTTCCTGGGACTCCACAAGGACTCATACTTGGCACTGTGATTGGTATCGACTAACTCAATAATTTCCCCAACTTTGCTGGTGAGATTTTACCCTAGGACAAATCCCATGGAACGTACCGTGGAGACAAGGCCTAAGGCCTTGTCTCCACGGGACTTTTCATGGGATTTGTCCCAGGAAAAATCTCACTTGCTAAGTTGGGGAAAAAATTGAGTTAGTCAATACCAATCACGGTACCAACTAAGAATCCTTGTGAAGGCCCAGGAACGACTTCAAAAGAAGCAGAAATTTGGTTGTGTTGTTTAACGGGAAAAGAGCTCGGAAGTTTCATCCCTGCGATTCGAACTGGGGAAAAATCCCGTGAAACGTCCCGTGGAGACAAAGCGTTAGAATAGAGAGGATTCCTGCAAAAGATTTCCCTGAGATTGTCCACACACCAGACCATGGAAGTAAAAATCGTCTTTGACGTACCTTTCGCGTATATCGGGGAGTCTGGGAGCCTCGATGTAGCCGACACTGACGTTGGGTGCGGCGGTGGAGTTGGCGGGGTCCAGGAATTCGCGAGCGTAGGGGTCGCGCTCTGGGGTTGGTGGCGGGTCCTTGTCTTTGAGCTCTTGGTCCTGCACGTCGACCTCATCCTCGGGATCCTTGCTCGACTCGTCCGCTTGCGGCATCTCCATCATCCCGCGGGTCAGCACCGCGTCCAGCTCGCTCAACTTATCCGACGGCAACACGTTCACCAGGTCCAACAACAATTTGACAATGAGATCATGACTAGCTTCGTCCCCGTCCCCCGACTCCCCCGAGGAGGACTCCTCCTCGCTGTGATGTACCCGCGGTCGAGCCTGGATGAGGCTGCTTAAACAACTTAAGGCTAGAACTATCCTAAGCGCGGTGGCTAGCGACACACCGCTCAGTCTTCTCAGAGTGTCAGCGTTCATGGCGGCTGGAATGTGTGGAGCACTTGGGCGCGAACTTCTCACGAGTACCTTCTACCGGCGCGCCGGGGCTGGAGCGTGGACACGAACGAGGGTCCTGTAGCTTTCCGGGAGGGGTCTTTCCCGAGCGTCCATCTCACGAACGAGTCACTGCCTCGCGGCGGCATGAAACTTCACTGGGGTCCTCTCGAGAGCACAGAGGTCACTGAAATTCAGCCGAAACACTGGAAAAATAATACCCTGGCCCGAGATAAGGAGACAATTTCCGAGGGGAAACTTAAAATTTGTCAAATTCTAGCCGCGAATTTAAGATGTTCGAATTTTTCACCCGAGAAACAGCACAAAACTCGACGAAGACACTAGAGGGAAACTGTCAGTCTACCTAAATTTTCTTACGGGGACGAAATTTTCCGTAAATTCGTCGAGAGATGAAAAGAAAATTCGGCGAAAAACGAAAAAAAATTGCGTGCGGTGACGCGGCGCGCTTTTCTTTTTCCTTCGGCAAAGACGGCGAGCGTAAAAAAGCGGGGAATGCGTGCGAGACGTAACCGGCGGAGGGTTTTATTGAAACTCGAGTAAGAACCAGGTGAATGATAAGTGGGAAGATGAATTAAGTGGAAAGTAGCAGTATTAAGTAGTAGTATTCAGGTAGCAAGTGAGAGATAGAACAGGCGGCCGGCTGCGGGCTCCTCGCGCCAGAATCTCAGTCTCCGCCGGGAGAGGGAGGGGGAGGAGAGGGGCGGTCCAGCTCGGAGGGAGAGAGACCCCCCGAGAGAGATGCCCCGACGCGAAGACAGAGATGCCAACAGGCAGACAGCCCCAGAATTCAGGGAAAACAAATGTTTGACAATTCCGGATCAAAAGTGAAATGAAACTGTTTGTTTGTTTTCCCCCTTTTTTCGCTCCCCCCCCCTCGTCGCTGCCCCCCTTGCGTTCCCCTTTTTCTCTCTCGTTCTCTCCTCCCTTCGGCGGTCTCTCCTCGCGTCCGCGTCTAAATTGAGCTCTGGTGTGATTTATGGCCGATGGGCAGCTCGCGAAGTGGTTGGAAATTCGCGACCGGGACACGTCACGCGCCGATCGGGCCTCGAATTTCCGCCCCCTCCCCCGACTTCGGCGCCTGCCGCAGGCCGCGATTTTTCTCGAGATCAAGCGCCTTAAAATGATATCAAAATCTTCTTCATATCAACTTTAATGCCAAATCCAGCGGCGGCGATCGAATCGCTTGTTTCGAAAGGTGCAAAACTCCGAAAAGGAAAAAAAAAAATCCACAAAACGAAGAAAAAGTGAAGATAGCCGAAAATTAATCAAAATTCTTTCGGTGCGTGCTATGCAGTACTCAAAAATGTAAAAATTGTCGGTTCTTTGATGGTGTAATATGAATATTACCCCGTACCGTTCACACCACATACCATCAAGGTTTTCTCAAAATTGATTGTTCAAAGTTCGATGAGCGAGTTATTTCATCTCAACGGTGCTCATCTCCTTCGGGGAACTAAAAAACGCGCCTACATAGAAACTTTTAGCGGCTCTGGTGCTTGCACTAGAGCTGCTATTCCGGACGGTCCCAGCTGGGGAGTATCAATGGACCATGTTACATTGGAGAGACCGCGCATTGGTTGATGGGAATCGGCGCCATTTTCGACTATGTACCTTGTCATGACTTTATTTTATTGCATATTGTTTTATTGTTAGCCAATGCTATGTTGTGTAGTGTATTTTTGGAATCATGGTGATACAGTCAATAATTCAAAACTTGTCTGTGCTTTAATCTCGTGATGGAAAAAATGTACTTTACGTTCAAAATTTGAAATTTTGAATTTTAAAGTTTTCGCGGTTTTTTGGAAGAATGCAGTGGTTGCAGCTTCCTAGGCATATTACTCGATATCAGCTGATAGCAAACAAAGGTTACCAAGGAAACCGAAACTAGTTATTTGACAAAAAAAGAAGATTATCACTCAATTGAAAGAAATTGGCGCCCAATCACAACGACAAGTTTAAAAAAAAAATGTGAAAGAGATTTTTTAGGATGCGGACCTCCAAAGAGCCTTCAAAATTAAAAGTATACAACAAGTGATAGTGCCATGCATTCTGCATATCAAGGGCCAATACACATTTATACACCGGCTTTGTAAATCTGCTAAGTTACAAAACATGAATCGACAGTTGTCGGATTGTACATCAATGACAAAATGTGTCTAGGCCCTCATTCTTGACTACAACTACCGTCGCCAGAGCCGCTTTCCGACGCGAATGCGTTGGAGCTTACTGCTTGTTTTTTAATACGAACGTATTAGAGCTTCCTCGTTTCAATTTAAATGGGGATTTACCACCATTAAAGTATACGTCCTTATCCGTTGCCCTATCCGTCCCTACCCGATACCCGCCATTCCCACAAAAAAATGGTACTTTAGTCTACAAGGACGAAGTTTTCAATGGGTCTATTTGTGTCCAGTTGAATCGAAAAATTGGATTTTGAGATCCGATGGCTGACTCTCTTAAGTGCTCTAAAGAATAAGTTGCGAACGCTTTAGTTTATTTTTGTGTCAACGGAATTGCATACATTGAGAAATGAATGTAATTCTTATGCTAATGTTTGATATTGACCTTGATATATTTTCGTTTCTTAAGCATCTATACACCTAAGTCATATGTAGAGTGCTTAGACCATAGAGCCGTAATGTAATACAGAGAGCTGGCGCCACTTTCAAACATTTTCCAGGTTCAGAATTTCGAGATTCCTGAGTCACGCCAGATCACTTTTTCGATACATAATCGATTGGTTTCGATACACGGGGACCCAGTCACCCGATGAAAACAAAGAAGATAGGAATTACTATGTATTCTACACTGCCATTTTGGATCGAACATGTATCAAAAAAGTACCGGGCACACCGGGCTCGGAACTCGTCGACCATAACATGGCGCCAGCTCTCCCATTTATATTACGACTCTATGTACTCTATGATCGAAGTTGCTTACACAATCAAACTTAAAGATTTTATCTTCCCTCTACACTATAGGGAACTTCAGGAGTGCTGGTACTGTTCATTGATTTACGTGATTCAGTCTATATCTATCTCAGATGTTGAAAAAACAATACAGATCTCAATCCCGAAAAAACGAATGATAATATTCCTCCAGGCGCTCAGCGCGGTGTGCGAAAGCGTGCGTTGCACGAAATGTGGAAAACTCCTTCTTTTAGTCAGTTATGCAATGAGAGCTACGCAGAGGTTAAAATAGTTGTATCGCGCCTTTTTCCATGCCTCGTGCTTGCTCAAGATCAAAACAAGCGGCTATAGCGCTATCGTTCATCAGTTTGACGTGGTATTAAAGAATTGAGACACTTCCTGGCAGCTGAAAGCGTGTGGTGATTAATAACACTCACTAACAAGTGAAGAGGAGAATATAGGAGCGACTTTTATGTGTGTAAAAAAAAAGAGAGAGAAACAATGCGCCCCATTTTCACCGCTCTCCTTAATGTAATCATGCCCCTCGGAAAAACATGATGGACACCTTGAGAACTGCTACGTTGCATATGTGCACTCGAAAAAGTTCAGTTCAGCACCGCTTATCACCAAAACTTTTTGGTATGTTAAATTTTGCATTTGCTCAATGTAACCAAACATTCAGTTTATGCAAACGAACACTATACCAGATAAGACCATGCTACGTTTAGTTCTTATGATTGTTGTTATGTTGTTGTGTATTGATTATTAGGTATTTGTACTGTTTTTTTTCGGAAGTTCGACTACATAAGCTAACTGAACCAAGTGTATCAAAAAGGAACCAACCCACATTTTCGAAAAAATTGAGTTAAGGAAGTTTTTGAGTTCCATTAGCCGTATATTTTCTCCTGCCAAAAACTGAAAGTCGAAAAACAGAAATTAGTTTGTGAAAAGAGGGTTTAAAGTTAATTTTCTGCATTGATCCTCATGCAGGAATTAAACTTCAAACCTCTTTTTCTCAGTTTTGACTTAATATGGGATGATTCCTTTCTGATGAGCCTAGTCCAACTATTCTTAAGGGTGCCCTCTTCCACCTTAACACCATCGCCTTGAAACCCCGCTGAGTTGCTGAGTATAGTAATAGTAATCATAGTATAGCAATAGCGGATACCTCTGTCATACACAGAAAAAAGCACGAGGTTGATGGATGGTATGGACAAATCGAATTAATCGTGGTACTACCTCAATTTCTCCGATGATAAGCACATTTCCAGTTAATTATGGTAGCATCCCAATAAATGTTGCGGTAACTACTACCCACTGCGGTTGCTACTAACCCAAATGTTGTGGTTCTATCCTAACTTGAATTGTGGTACTACCACAATTAACAGGAGATGTTCATATCATCCGACAAATTGAGGTAGTACCACATTTTTATGGGATAACAGCTGACACTTTTTTTTCCATTTACATACAAATAGTACTGATTGTGAGACTAAAAATGACCTTAATTTTTCTCTCACACCCACCAATTTCACGGAAAATTGAGGTTTCTATTAAAGCTGGATATTTCCTAGAAAAATTTAGTTTGACAGGAAATTGGTTCATAGAGAGGAAAACAAATGCTACCATCGGATGTACCTGCGAAAAATGATTGATTAAATGTACGATTTTCAATATTTCAATCAAATTTTTGACAGATTTCTCCGCCGTGCCTAATAACGACGTGTTACCGGTCGAATGATGTAATCTGCCTCCCTACATACTCTCATGTAAAACTGATCCGCGTGGTTTGCGTCTGAAAGGAGGTGAAAATGATTTTACCCAAGATTCTTTTACTTAGTTTCCGTTGCTGAAGCGGAAAATGACCTTAGTTTTTCGCGTCGCCCACCGATTTTCCGAAAAATCACAGTTTCCATAAACACAAATGTTTGTCATCCAAACAAGACATTAATCGTAGTAATACAGAAACACATGTTGGATGCCAAATAATGTTGGATCTAAAAATTTCTCTGGTGCTCCGATTCACGGTGTTTATGGACTTTTCGAGGCGAATTCAGCACATTCTACTCAAAAACACAGAAACTGCTTTAGTGGCAAATATGATACAAACATACTTTGGCTTTTTGGCAAGTAGAAAGTTTGAATTGCCGAACACAGGAAACTTTGATTTTTCTTAGCTGGGTTTATTTGGAAATTTCTGATGTTTTCCCCCTTTTCTGCCCGACATTTCAATAAAGTATCGTGTAATATGAGGGGCTTGGAGGACAAGGCGTGTAAGTGCAGTTTTTGCTATTTTAAGAAATACGTGTTGAAGTTTCAAAATTACTTGGAGCCTCATGGCGGAAAGGAAGTTTGAACGCACTTTTGAGCTTTCCAGTTGGATTTTAGCTGTGCATTTTTCACAGAATATACTTTCAAACTAGTTTCAGTTGAGTTCATGAATACGTAAATTTTTTCAAAGACTGCACTATAATGCGCCTTGTCCTCCAATCTCTTCATATGATGTTTTTCACACCTTGTCTTGTGGCAAATTGGTATCATTTTTTCAACAAAATGGCCCTTAAAATGTATTTTTGACCAAAAATTATGCAGTTCCTAATGAGGAAAAAAGCTTAAATGTTATGTAACCCTAGAAAATAGGATTTACCTTCTCCACAACGTTCAGTATCCCCTAAATATGTTACGCAATTCTAGAATAATTTCCAACATGAATAACAAATTATCAATGAGACGGAGTAAAATAATGACAAAGACAAACATGTTTTCCAGAGCACGGTAACC